AAATGCGCGTAGAGTGCATTAAATGCGCGTAGAGTGCATTAAATGGGCATTGAATGCGTCTTAAATTCTGTAATGTGCTTTTAATGCGTCACCAATACGTGACCTTTTATGTGCATTTCAATTCGCATTGAAGCGCATTTAATGCGGTTGGCGCTACTGGGGTACACCTCCCGTCCCCTTCGTTACTTCTCTTTGCTTAAATAAAGCATACCTATGACGTCCCATGAATTTGGCACAGGTGTCTGCAGGAAACGCTTGAAGTGCCGATGGTTGGTCTCGACGTGGTTGGTCGTGGCGTGGTATTGCTTGTACACGCTGAGCCGGCTTGGGCGCACAATGCTGAGCCACTGTTCATGGTAGTACATAAGGAACGGGTACACCGCTGCGTAAAGTTGCGGCTCACGGCGCCGGAACTCATGCCACACAGCCGTGTAGCCCTCCCCTATCTGTTCGGCTGGCAAGCGCGGCAGAGCACACAATCGCCGCAGCATTGTAAGGGCATTCGCGGTGTCCCTAAATAAGTCCGTCAGGTGCATCCTGCCGACGGACTCATGCACCCTGAAGACGTGATGAAGAAGGCACCCAGAGAGCCGGAATGTGGGCAGTGTGCCAAACACACGCCGGGTGGCATTCATGAGGCCCAGTTCAAAGTCTGTCTTAAAAAGACGCCCCACCAAACCGAGGTCCCGCAGCCGTTGAAGGGCGTGAAGGTAGCTCTCCTCAGACTTCGACGACATAAGAACATATGCTACGGGCACCACCTGAAAACATTAAAGACAGACCCCCACTCTAAATTGCAATGAACAATTATATTTTTCCAAAGAAAGGTGCAATTTTAAGCACATCTTGACAGGATGCAATTTTCGTGTCTTGCAAATAGCAAATTAGCTCATGTTCATGGACAATTTCAACTTTTGCCCTTCGATCAGTTGAAAATTTGTATTTTGTAAAGGCGCTTAAAATTTCATCTAACTATGGACCCATTTGTCCGTTAAAGTGTCCATTGACATTTAGAGTGCAACACACTTCACTTACGTCTCTCTCCCTAGTAGCGCCAGTGCGGTAATGAACACGAAAATGCGCAGAAATTGTCCCACATTTCTGGCGCATTTCACACAGTAAAGTGGAAAGGACAGAATGTACACGGTGAGCGCAAATCCTTGAAGTCAAAGGACGTTTTTCGAATTTTCAAGGACCATCGGAAGGATTCAAGGATGGTCCTTCGAAAATAGCCGATTTCTTATGGAGTTTGTGAATTTCGAAGGATGGTCCTTTGAAGCTCACTCGGGGCACTTCTCAGGGGAGTGTCCCAGGGGCTCTCGCGAGCTCCCCTACCCCCGTAGCGCCGCTTTTCCAATGCGCATTAAAATGCGCAAAAAAGGTTACACATTCCTGGCGCGTTTAATGCGCATTAGTGCATTGAATGCGCATTAATGCGCATTGGCGCTTCTGGGGTAGG